CCATGAGATACCATCTTACACCAGTGAGAATGGCACATATTAAAAAAACTAGCAACAACAAATGTTGGCGAGGGTGTGGAGAAAAAGGAACTCTTCTGCACTGTTGGTGGGAGTGCAAACTGGTCCAACCACTGTGGAAAGCTGTGTGGAGATTTCTGGACCTACTAAACATAGAGCTTCCATATGACCCAGCAATTCCACTCCTAGGTATTTACCCAAAGGACACAGAAACATCAATTCCAAAGAACACCTGCACCCCTATGTTTATAGCAGCACTGTTTACAATAGCTAAGCTTTGGAAACAACCCAAATGCCCAAAAATAGATGACTGGATCAAGAAGATGTGGTACATATATACCATGGAATATTACTCAGCATTCAAAAAAGATAAACACATGCAATTTGCTGCAACATGGATGGCGCTGGAAGGGATCATGCTCAGCGAAATAAGCCAAAAAGAAAAAGAAAAATACCGGATGGTCTCACTCATAGCAGGAATCTAGAAAACTTAAATAAGGGACCAGGAAAATGAAAAACTATAAGAAAGTGAAAATCAAAATCAACAAAAAACTATGAACCAGAGACACTTTTAGGGGGGCTGGGGCGGGAGGGGAGGGATTGGGGTCAGAATGGGGGGCGGCAATTGTATGGGGAATATAACAATAAAATTTATAAAAAAAAAAAAAAAAAAAATATGGAAAAGATAATTGGCAAATTTTGATATGAAAAAACCACATATAAAATACATGGGTTTTTAAACTTGAAAAAAAAAAAAAAAAAAAAATTAAAATTTGCACTCCTAGATTATAAAACTGCTCCCTTTTCTTTTTGAAAGTAAATAAAATCTTTTATTTTTCTTATTCTTTACTTCTACAAGGAAAATTAAACAAATATTAAACTGGACTATGTTGATTAAAGAAATTGAGTCAATAATAACCCTCCAAAAAAAGTACCAATCACAGATGATGAATTCTGCCAAACTTTTCATGAATAAATTATGCTGATTATCTCTTCTAATAAATAGTCTTCTTTTTTTATATCAATGTATGATTTCATTGGGATTCTCACATACTTAAAAATAAAAGGCAGATCTCTCAGAACATGAGTCTGTGCCACCCTGAAGTATAGTAGAGCAAGCTGTGTGCGTGTGTGTGTGTGTGTGTGTGTGTGTGTGTACCTGCGTCTGTGTCATTTCAGTTCATTTCAGTCAAAAGATACTTTTTATTTTAAAGGGTTGTGGGCATAATTATTTTACAGAAACTGGTAATCTTGCAAATTTTCATATGTGAAATACTTCACTAGTTTTACTAGGGTTTCAAACTGCCATTTGATGTAAACTGGCTTGATTCCTGAGAAGTCCATGGTGTATTTATTCTGCCCTATAAGCCCTGGACCACCTGTGAGAACATTACCCATCTCTCCAGAATGAGATCAGAGCTCATTTACATTCTTAAATTTTCCCAGTTTGTTGGATGTCTGATGCCTCGAAATATATGTTTTTGTTTCTCCCTTTTATCCTCATAGTCCAAGTCTTCTTAGGCTCCTCAGTTTCATCCAATAAATTTCCCTATCTTTCTATTTCTAGATGTTCATTTTCCTCCTTTTTAATTGATGATGTCATTTTATCTAACAAATATTCACCAAAGTCACTTCTCAATGCTAATAAACAATTAGGCAAAGCATGCCCAGGTTTTCTAGGAAGTAACCAACAAACAATTCTTCCCACATATATTTTTGATCCTATGTTTCCATTTTCAAAGATAAATGAAATACTTGGAATATGTAACACACACACACATATATATATATAAAATGAAGCAAAATAATAAAACATATCGAATGCCTGTTTATTTCTAAAACGTGACTTTGGTACAAAGCTGAGACAGTATTGGGCCTCCCCGGTGGCGCAGCGGTTGAGCGCTGGGTTGCAAAGCTGCCAGCAGCTTCTGCAGCACTGGTTCTATCCCCGGCCATGCCACATGTCGCGCAGACCTCTCCTGCCGCCCGCTGCTCCCCTCAGCAGTGTATCATCAGTCTGCCTGTTCTGTTCCCCGGTCTTGCTCTGGTGAATTCTCTCACCCTCCCGCGCTTCTGTATAAATAAATAAATAAATCTTTTTAAAAAAGGCTGAGATAGTATTATAGTTTAAAATGTTAATAAAGGGCCTCCCCGGTGGCGCAGCGGTTGAGTGCTGGGTTGCGAAGCTGCCCGCAGCCTCTGCGGCGCCGGTTCGATCCCTGGCTGCTCCCCAGCCACCGGAGGAGGGTCCCACATGGCGCGCAGACCAATCCTGCCACCCGCTGCTCCCCTCAGCAGTGTACTTTGGTCCTTCTGCCTGCTCTGCTCCCCACCTGGCTCTGGTGAATTCTCTCACCCTCCCGCGCTTCTGACTACCCAGTGCATGTGTAAAACAAAACAAACAAATAAATAAATAAATAATACGTGCCTCTTTAAAAAAAATAAATAAAAATAAAATAGTAAGAGAAAAAGGGGTCATTCATCTGTATGTACTTACTGAAACACCTACTCAATACTCACAGATATTAAGGCAAAGCACACTTGCGTTGTTTGTGAGGTGTGCATATGTATCGCATATAACAGATTTCTGCCTCTGGCAATATTCCCAATTAAATAATTCAAGGAAACATCCCTCCACAGAACAACTGAAGTTTGAAAACAGCATACTATTTGAAATATTGCTAGCCTTAGAAAAATAAAAACATTGGCCAAGTGCATACTCTCATTTTTAAAAAAGTTACTTGGTTCAGGACTGGTTGCAAACATCTAGGATGAGCTTACATCTGAGATGGTGGCTACAATACTACCTGGAAACTCAGCCTTCAGCCAACCTCAGGCCACTGTGAGTCTTATAACAAGGACCTAGATGTCACATGCTGAACTGAGGAAGTCCCAACTTGGGATACCTGGAAGGAAAAGAAAATCAAATATTGTTCAAAAATGAACAATGATATAAGGGATTTAAAAGAAAAGGAGAAGGAAATCCTCTACAGAACAATTTCTCAAATTTTTAACATAGGCACAAATGACACCTGTCAGTTAAGATCAGGAAAGAAACTCATCATGTTAATGGCCAAACATGCTTGAAAGCAAGTCATCATTAACTAAAGAGAGAGCAGAGACAGGAGATCCAGAAACTGTAAAGACTGCCACTGTAGCTGCTGAGCATAGGATGACTCCACAAATATGATGAAGGGAATAGAGATCATCATACATCAAAGAGATTGCTAAAAATGACAGATATGCCATAAAATTTATAGGAAGGAAACGTAATGTTGATATCAAAATCTCAATCAGTAGGCTAAACTGAAAATAAAACATCGCTGAAGGGACACAACACATGTATGCACACACATAAATGACACAGAATGAAGCAACTAGGACAAAACAGGGAGATGTGAAGACATATGGAAAGCAGAATAATAAGCACTAAATATTTCTAATTAAAATTGCAGAAGAAAAGAATACGAAATGAAGAAAACATTGTGCCTGGTATAGAAAACAATCTAGCAAGATATATTTTAAAAAATAAAAGCCTTTGGCTTCCCTGGTGGCGCAAGGGGTTAAGCACTGCACTGTGAAGCAATTCGCAGCCTCTGCAGCACGAGTTCGATCCCCAAATGGCCAGGGAGAAACCACATGGTGCAGCAGACCTCTCCTGTGTCGCCCGCTGCTCCCCTCCGCAGTGTATTTCTGTCAGTCTGCCTGTTCTGTTCCCCACTCTGTCTCTAGTGAATCCTCACACCCCCCGCATCTCTGGCCTGTACCCCAGTTCTTATATGCATAAATAAATAAATCTTTAAAAATAAATAAAAACCTTTGAAAAATAGGTTAATGTGGGTATATATACACACATGCTTTAAAAGTTTAAAGATGCAATACTTCAGCTAAGGAACATTTTCCAGCTTTTCAGAGATCATTTTCCATGGCTTGCAATGTTGATTATAAAAATTATTTAACAGAATTCTAGTATTTTAGATTAAATAAAATTGGTGTTCCTGAGAGAAAAATATAGTTACACAAATATGTGACTTATTTCAAGTTCTCACTGTCAGAACCCGCAGAAGGTACAGATAATGGGGAAGAAAGGGGGAGGTTATTAAAGCACCCTGGTGAATATTGCTTTCTACAAACTTTCTTTTCATTGATGGAATTGCATTATAACATGATATTATAGTTTCAGGTGTGCATAAATCAATGTCTGTATACTACATTGTTTTAGAATCAGAAAATAGAAGTTTTAAATTGTGTGATGGAGGAAAGAATTGTACTTTCAGTGGTGAACTTATTGTAGGAAAAAATTTTTGTTGTTAAGACCTGAAACCTGCAGCATTTAACTAATCTTAAAGATCTAACAGAGATTCATCAACTTTCTGTATTTAAAAGGACATACATTTTTGTGACTTTTCTCTAGTCCTATAGTTAAATTATGTAATAGACATTATACTTATATTTAACATGCACAGGCACAATCATAAACATGTTCATTAACCTATCTCAGTTCATCTTCTCTACTACACTAGAAGGGAATAAGGCTGAGTAGTATCTTGCACTAAATCACAGAGTTAGTGAAAAGGGTGTTGTCTTTAACATTTTGAATAGTGTAATTTTTTTAAAAGATTTATTTTATTCATACAAGTGCTGGGGTACAGTCCAGATGCATGGGAGGGTGAGAGGATCCACCAGAGACAGAGGAGGGAACAGAACAGGCAGACTGACTGAAACACACTGCTGAGGGGAGCAGCAGGCGAGACAGGAGAGGTCTGCCACACCATGTGGACCCTCGCTGGCTGTCAGGGATGAACCCGCGCTGCAGAGGCTGCGGACAGATTCTCAGTGCGGCACTCAACTGCCTGCGCCACCAGGGAGGCCCTAGTGTGATTTTTTTTAATGGTCATTGTGAAAATACAGTTTTATGTGGATATTCAAAACTAATCATAATCAATGGTAGAGGAAATCAAATGAAAATTTCTAATTTCTAGATCATTTCTAAAACTTCCTCCTCATCAACTTCGTCCAAAGTTCGCAAAATACTGAAATTAATGACTTCATTTTGCCACCAATGTCTTCCTCAAATCCCACTCAATGAGGCCCTAATGAAATGGAAGAACTGAAAAAGTCAGAAGCAAAGAGGAAGAGCAGCAGCCTCAAGATTCCCTTGAAATAACAGCTATCAATAACTGAGCTACCTCTTGTTATCACATAGGATATCTATCCCTATTGACTTTGCATTTTTAGAAAATTCTGAGAGGGAGATTAGGGCTCTTTTGATGTGGAAGCAAATAAGTTATGACTCTAAGACTCCTGGATGAGTATGATGTATACTTTGCTTGTGGGCCTGCAATGGATTACTATCTGAAATTGGACAATAAATTGTTAAAAAAAGAGGTGAGTTTACATTAAATTGTCAGCCACATCACTGACCAAAAAGGCTGGTTTCAATAAATGGGATTTGATGCAGGATCACCTCCATTCATTTTCATCTGTGTTTCAAAGGCAGCAGTCCCACTAGATAATATTATATCTCACTGCAAACACCAATGTTAATGTGATCCTTTCCTCCTAGGATGACCTGATCCAAGTACAAAAAACACACTATTGAATACTAAAAATAAATCCAGCATGAGGCAGAGTTCTCTTTCATCTCTCACATTGGGATATTATTACAATTTTAATGATCTGCCTAGGATTTTTCATACACTCTGTTTCTTTTGAAGAAAAAAACAGGAAACCTATTGAAACATACCAATCTCCTTGAAATGTCTACAGCAACAGAGCAGTGGGAATATATGCTTTGCTGTAAAGAAATAAAAAAAGAGCAAAGCAATCATAAATGTATCACTTTGGTCTGTTATGATATACTGCTTTTCCTTTAGAGAGAACAGGTACTTGTATTCTAATATTGTATTTTCAGTTACTACATTATTTCTTTACAGTATTCAGAGCATTAATAATTCACACCCAAAAAATAACTTCTAAGTATTCTTTATGCTATAGAATTATATAAGGAACCAATACAATCATTTGATTTCTATTATCTGGCCAAGCTGTTGTCATTTCTTCCCAAGAGGGAACAACTATTTTTTTTAATGGTTGAGATCTTTTTTAGATACCTATGAATTTTTATATACTTATTTAAAATATACATTTTGCCAAAAAGTAGTTATAAGTGTTAGGGTTTGGAGCAGAGATCATGAAGAAGAAATTAATGTTTGAGGTGTTGAGTTGGGAGACTTCAAATATTGTCATATTTAAACTTCTCACCTAGGCCCAACTCTAAGCTAACCTTAAGTGGTGGAAGAAAAACATTCCAAACATTGAAGTCAAATAAATTCACTTTTTTTTTACAATCCATCAACTACTCAGAACCATGGCAGTTTAGTTTGCTCAAGCTTTACATTATGATTCTTTTTTTTAATAATTCCTTTTCCCAGAACTTCCAAATATCTTTCTTTCTTGTGACTGGTAAAATAAATCATTATCAAATGATATCAAATCAATAAAATGACACAATTTCTTGATGATGAAATGTTGTGATATAGTTCAATTTCTTCTTGAAGATGTTCTTTTTGGACCCTTGAGTTTCATGTTATATAATGTGGATCAACCTAGGATTATATTACTACTATCAATAAATTAATTTTAATATGTTTCCTGAACTCCATAACATCTTTATTCTTGTATTCATTTTCACTTCTCTTGATATATGCTAAAGTAAATTTTTCAAAGTTCATGAAAGACAAAAATTTGGGGTTCCTTACTTTTCTGCAAACATCTTTTTGACAAGGTCTTGGGTTTTAAAAATAAAATCTTTCAGGCCTCCCTGGTGACTCAGGGAGTTAAGTCTCAACACTGTGGGGCCATTGACAGCCACTGCAGCACAGGTTCAATCCCCGGGCAAGGAGCTACCCACATGGCACGGCAGACTTCTCCTGTCTCACCCACTGCTCCCCTCAGCAGTGTATTTCAGTCAATCCACCTGTTCTGTTCCCGACTCTGTCTCTGGTGAGTCCTCTCACTCCCTGCACCTCTGGCCCGTACCCCAGTTCTTGTATGCATAAATAAATAAATCTTTAAAAAAAAACTTTCCTTTAGAACTATTGTGTTCAATAAAACAAGTTATTGAACCATTGCCTTCTTGGATCTAACGTGATTGATGAAAAGTCTGCAACCAATGTAGTTCTTTGCCTTTTAGGGAAACAGTTTTTCCTCTGAATAACTTTTAGTTTTTTCATTATTCATCATCTGAAATTACCATGATATAGTTGGTATAAGATTTTGAAAACTACTTTTTAGCATGGTACTTCATAAACCCTTTTGATGTGATTGTTCAGGTATTTTGTATATTCTTGATAAAATATATTTTTTTCTTTTTTTTATCTCTTCTTTTTTCTCAAGTGTCCAATTCTGGAAATCCAGATTAGAGGTCTGTTTGAGTTTATGGATAAATTCTCCATTTATCTTAATCTGTCTCTATTCAGCAGTCATATTTGTAGTTACCAGGAAATCCTACTTGCTCTCTTTGCTAAAGTCACCTAGTCATAATCTTCTTGACTCTGGGAAAGTAATCAGATTAAAGGGATTAAGAAGGGCACTGATGGTAAGGGGGTGGTGGGAATTGCATGAGGAATTCCCATGTAGTGTTTCTCTGGTTTATGGTTGCTTGCTGATTTTGATTTTTACTTTATTATAACTAGTCTTTTTCCTGGGCTCTTATTTAGGTTTTCTAAATTCCTGCTGTGAGTGAGACCATCCAGTATTTTTCTTTTTCTTTCTGGCTTATTGCACTGAGCATGATCTCTTCCAGCTCCATCCATGTTGCTAAAAATTGCATGAGTTTATCTTTTTTGATTGCTGAGTAATATTCCATGGTGTATATGTACCACATCTTCTTGATCCAGTTATCTATTCTTGGGCATTTGGGTTGTTTCCATAGCTTAGCTATTGTAAATAGTGCTGCTATAAACATAGGGGTGCAGGTGCCCTTTGGAATCAATGATTCTGTGTCCTTTGGGTAAATACCTAGGAGTGGAATTGCTGGGTCATATGGAAGCTACATCTTTAGCAGGTTGAGGAATCTCCACACAGCTTTCCATAGTGGTTGGACCAGTTTGCACTCCCACCAGCAGTGCAGGAAACGTTCCTTTTTCTCTGCAACCTTGCCAACATTTGTTGTGGCTAGTTTTTTTAATATGTGCCATTCTCACTGCTGTAAGATGGTATCTCATTATAATTTTGATGTGCATTTCCCTGATTACAAGTGATGCTAAACGTTTTTTCATATGCCTGTTGGCCATTTGCATTTCCTTTTTAGAGAAGTTCATTTTTAGCTTCTCTGCCCATTATTTGACTTGATTATTTACTTTGTTTTTGTTGAGTCTCTTCAGCTCTTTGTAGATTTTTGTCATCAGTCCTTTATCATTAGTGTTGTGTGCAAAAATTTTCTCCCAGTCGATGGTGTGTCTCTTTGTTTTAGTTACTGTCTCTTTTGCTATATAGAAGCTCTTTAATTTGATGTAGTCCCAGCTGTATACCTTTGCCTTTGCTATCACTGCTTTGGGTGATGAGTTTTTAAATATATTGCTGAGGTGTATGTCATGTAGTGTTAAACAGGGACTTTTTTTTAAGATTTATTTATTTTTATACAAGAATTGGGGTACAGGCCAGAGATGCGGGGGGTGAGAGGATTCACCAGAGACAGAGCAGGGAACAGAACAGGCAGATTGACTGAAATAGACTGCTGAGGGGAGCAGTGGGCAAGACAGGAGAGGTCTGTCTCGCCATGTGGGTTTCTCCCTGGCCAGCTGGGAATCAAACTCATGCTGCAGTGGCTGCGGATTGCTTCATAGTTTGCGTCCTAACCCCTGTGCCACCAGAGAGGCCCTTAAACAGGGACTTTTAACAGGGACTCCACACCCCACCATATGCACATGCCCAAAGCTGTTATTTGGCCACTGCACATCAGGAGAGTTATAACTATGTAGAATACCAAGCGTTCCTTCTGTAATCATTGGTATAGGCCATTGTCATAACCAGTTTGAGTGCTGTGTAATATGCAGTTCCCCTAGGAACATAACATTTGCTCAATTCAGAAACTGAAGAGTTATTCCCGGAATGCTGGAGGGACTCCAGAACTCTTTTCTAGTGCTAAAGGAGAACTGAATTTTGATTCCTGGGGTTCTGTGTACATCAGTTCCCTACATGTACACCTCCTGCACACAGTCTTTAAAGTCTTCAAAGACTACAAAAGCCCTGCTTTTGCCTCACCATCCCCTTCACCCAATTCCAAGGATTTTAGGATTGAACCATAAGGGAAGCCATCCTGTCACTGACCAACAAGAGGATGAGGAAGAGAACAGCCACCCACTATGACACAGACATGCCACTTCCATCCCTACCTAGGCCCTAAGCAGAGCAGGTCTGGACCCTCAAAACAGCGTAGAAGGAAGGAATTCTGGCAAGCTCACGGCCATCCTTCAAGTAGATGTCATATGCCTACGTGGTCACCAAGATTATGGCCTTAGCCATCAGCCAGGTTTTGCTCTTAGACTATTGCCATGGGACCTATATATGTAGTACTTTGGTTCTGAAAGAGAAGTAGAAGGAGAGGAAAGCAAATACATATAAAATGAGGTTGTTGCACAAAATGAGTAACTGGGCCCTGGTGACCTGGTTTCAAGAGGAAAAACTGAAAGAGCCTGAGGGCAATTTGGAACCAGGAGGCACATGGAATGCATATGGGCCCTCCTACTTACCAACCAGCTCAGTTGAATTTCACCTCCATTTCATGGAATATATTTATTAAAATGGACCAAATGCCCACTTACCACTAGAGTTATAAGCACTAATTTTTGAGCAAAATGACTATGTCTGAAGGACATCTCAGTAATGTTGAAAAGAGGGAGACATAGACATGACATATGATTTCAGTGATACAAATCAGAAATTTACTGTGGTGTGGAGTTTTCTGTGGAGAAGTGATGAATCTAAGAAGAAAGAAAATTGTGAAGTCAAGAGTGTTTTCTTCTATTTGGGAGAAGAATCTAGGGTTTGCATGTTCTATTTATTAACCTGAGTAGTGGATCCGTAGGTATTTACTTCCAATTAGTTATGAAACTACATGTTTATATTAAATAGATTTTTTTAATCTAAATAGAATTGGTTGAAAGACAATTTCTGTTCACGAATAATATGTCACCCTGAGGCTTCTGCTTCTACCCACTGAAGAAAGTGAGCTATTGGAGAAGCAAATATTTCTGTGTGCTGGCCTATGACTGTGAGCATCCAAGGGTACAGATAGACATAAGAAACTTCAACATACAGATAATATTAAATGTAGGAAAGTCCTTGGTAAGAATTTTGAGTATTTATTACTCAAATCTTTAGTTATAACTGTGTTTAACACTACCTCATAAAACTCCTGAAAATTGAACAAGTAACT